ACATCTAACCGTACAGTCGACGGGAAGCGACTTTGTTTTCTACTATGTCGAGATTATAACTGTTATCACAGTTTTGTTGTTACTATTTTAATAATAATAAGGAAATTATTTTTATATTAAAAACTTTATTAATTTTCTAGCAAATTTTATTGAAATTGTAATATTTTATTTCATAAAAAATCTTCATGTAGTTTTTTACACATAAATATTGGGTAAACGCATAAGGATCAAGCTCCCCCAAAAGTGTAAATATGTAATTTAAAAAAGCGAGTGTTAAGGGTTAATCACTTAAAGAGACTTTTGTTAAACTCTATTTAGACAATGTTTTAAATTACATTTTGTGGTAAGACTGTATGGTTTCACTTGTGGAATACTACCTTAAGGGGATGCTGATCATTTCTATTTTTGTTCTATGGTGTGATGATATATTTTTTTTTATACAACTTAGAATGGCAAACAAGCTGACGGCCCACCTGATGGAAAGTGGTAACCGTCGCCTATAGACATGAGCAGTACCATGGACATAACAGAGTATACTGTTTCGCCCATGATACCCCCCATGCGATGCCATTCCTGAGGACTCATATGTTATTCCTCTGTACCCTGTAAATTCACGCCATATCCCACCCTTCAAACCGAAACACAGCCATGCAATTTTTTTTATACCAATGAGGCGGCAATCAAGCATACGGCTCACCTGATGGTAAGTGGTTACCGTAGCCTATGAACACCTGCAATACCAGAGGTATTACGCGCGTTGCCGATCCTGAAGAAACCTCTTTACCCGTTAATTTGGATACATTATGGTAGTTAAGCGTACAACGTAATATTTGCCAATAAGAATAATATTTATTGATTTTTGTAATACACAGATCGGTTGGAAATACATAATATGAGTACACAAGTTATTAGCACGGAATCTCCGTACTTAAGTATGTATCTACCCTAATAACTAGAGTACATACACTAGAGTCTAGTTAATTGATTTATTTACGTCATATCCTTAAATTTATTCTTATACTTATAATAATTTATCTATGTACTCAATTTATGTATTTATTTAGCAAATATTGATTGTTTCAAATAATACAGCTATGGTGGCAAACAAGCATACGGCCCGTCTGATAGTAAACGGATTTACCGTGGCCTATGTACGCCTGTAACATCAGGGATGGCGGATGCTGTAAAATTTTTTCCAATAAAATAAATTGTAATTTCTTTTTTTTTATTTAATTTTTTTTAATAATCTTAAATTATGTAATTACTACAAACCCCAGGTTTTTTATTGCGTATATGTCATCAAGCTGATATGGTGAGTGTGAACAATGCAAGGACATCCCATTAACTCTATTTCTATTACAATAATAAGCTATTTGTTGACGTTTACTGTGATCGTCTAAGTGCCTACATACACGGAACATACCTTATTGTACCACATTTTTAGCAATAAACTTCATTCATTCATATAATCGTGTATTTTTTTTTATATTTACCATAATAATCATCGTCATCGTCATCATATCAACCACAACCGCAGTTAGGCTTTTGATGATGTTTTAAGAAGGACGCTGCTGCTCATTCTTCAACCATTAAGTTCCTTTTATGGCCTCTTACGACACCCACCAAAGGGAGACTTTGTACAAAAGTAGTTTGCTTAGCTACCTCTGTCCCATTCGTGTTTCTACCGTTGCAGTTGTATTACTGTTTCGCCCATGATACCCCTGATGCGTTGACTTTCCTGAGGATCATATCGTATTCCTCTGTACCCTGTAAGTTCACTGTCATATTCCACCCTTCAAACCGAAACACAGCTATATAAACACAACTGCTTCACGGTAGAAACACGAATGGGACAGAGGTGCCAAAGCAAACTATTTTTGTACAAAGTCTCCCTCTTTACTTCACTTACTCTCTACTTACTAATTTAAGTGAGGTACTTTGTTTTTCACTACCTTTTCTGAAAAGAAAATAAACCATTCATTCATTCATATCTTGATACACTATCTGTAAGTGGTCTACTCTAATAGTGTTCCCATTTTTAAACCAAGAGTACAAAGTAGCAGGCATAATCTAGTTTATTTATTTACTTGAATCTAGTTCGAACTAGATCGAATTAGCAATGAGGAGGTCCTGCTTAGGGTTAAGGAAAAAAGACAAATTATTAGAACTATTGAGGACAGAAGGGGAAAAATGTTGGGACACTTGATACGACACGACGAACTTATGAACATTATAATAGAAGGTAAGATAGAAGGAAGGAGGGGAAGAGGGAGACCGAGGCGTAGTTACATCAGGCAGATCAAGGAAGGAGTTGGTGTCGTGTCGTATCAAGAGGTGAAGAGACTCGCTGAAAATCGTAATGAGTAGCAAGAGCTCCACCGACAAGAGCGCAGCTCTTAAATAGGATAGATAGATAGTTCGAACTATAAAGGATATGAAAAAAATAATATGTCCAAAATCGATCCATCCTTTCTCAAGTGTTTACCTGTTCACGTTTATTTATATCGATTGTTTCGTAATGGTCTCAGAAGGCCTTATAAATCTCGTGCCACATCGCCAACTAGTGTACTGGGATAATCTCACTATTATACCTGACAGTCACGTATTACGTACGAGGCCTCCGCTGTTTTGTTAACAAACTTTACGATTTACATATTTTATTTGTTTTTATTAAGTGATTTTTAAAAGGAGAAGGCTATCGTATGTGTTATTTTGTTCTCGTATGATAAGAGATTATTTTGAATTTTTATATTTTGCACTTTATGGTATTAGTTTTACCGTTTTACTAACAATTCCTTCTCCCTCCCAACAATGAAATGTAAGCAAAGCTACTCGGTGGGAAATTAGTAAGAATTCTTTTTGTTATGGGTCATAATGGAATGGTAACCCCGCCTGCGCTATCGGTATACGCTGGCGGGGCACCAGTAAGGGATGATAGGTGACGATGAAAGCAGGTCAATTAGCCCATCGTGACGAATTCCACTAGAATAAACCGCGATGGTTTCCAGGGGGAACTGCGTGGTCGACCTGATAGGATGTATTGCTAGCAATGGGTCAGTTAGACTCCATTACTAACAATCCCTTTCTCCCAATTAGTGAGAGTTACCCATATATTTATTATTTATTTATTTATTTAACTCTTTATTGCACCATAAACAAAAATATACAACGACAATTGAACAATTCAAGTGAAATATAGTAACATAAATACAGATTGAAATATACACATAAAGGTACAAAAGGCGGTCTTATCGCTAGAGCAATCTCTTACAGACAACCTTTGGGTAAAGGAGAATAGATAGAAATAGGTAGGTGGTGGTGCAGGAGTGAATTAATAATTATTCATGCATAAAATACAAATTCACAAAAATATCGAATTCATATAATTTATTAAACTAATATACAAAATACATAAACATACACATATAAATACATATATAATACACAAAAGGAAATATGATTAATCTATTGAAAAAATTACAGAGGAATGAAAAAGAGTAACTACAGTGAAAGACAATATGATATATGTGCTTGACTGTACATTCTCCCTCTGGTATTGAGTGTAGGGTCTTGCAAATATTTGATTCTCCATCGAGTACTGCATACGTAATATTTACTGTCATTCCCCTGTGTGCCGTAGTTGTGTAATTCGTACTCGAGCGACGCCTAAAGTACGGAGCACGCAACACGGTCCACGGTGAGTCTAATAATGGTAATAATTTAAACTAACAAGTTTTCACCGCGGACGTATGAGTTTCATTACGCACTGTTACCATGACTTATTTATTTACACTTTATTGCGCCATTTATAAAAATCATAAATAAAGTAAATTTTAATAAAGGATAAGCAAGCTGAAGTGGCAATGGGCTGGTCACATAGCTCGAAGAACCGACAACCGATGGGGGTGAAAGGTTCTTGAGTGGCGACCACGTACGGGTAAACGTAGTGTAGGACGATCCCCCACTAGATGGAGTGACGACCTGAAATTCGTTGCAGGGAGTCAGTGGATGCAGGTGGCTCAGGACCGTTCTTTATGGCAGTCTATGGGGGAGGCTTTGTACAAAAGTCGATTGCTTGGGTACCTCTGTCCCATTCGTGTTTCTACTGTGAAGCAGTTGTGTTTGCATGGCTGTGTTTCGGTTTGAAGGGTGGGATATGACAGTAAATTAACAGGGTACAGAGGAATAACACCTGAGTCCTCAGGAATGTCAACGCATGAGGGGTATCGTGGGCGAACCAGTATACTGTAGTATGTTTAATGGTGATGGTTACCACTTTCCATCAGGTGGGCCGTTCTAAGTTGCATAAAAAAAGGTAACTACTGGTAAAGCCCTCCTTATGGGGGAGGCTTATGTCCAGCAGTGGACAGTTAACTGACATGATAATAAAAAAAGAGGACCTCTGTGATGTAGTTATTGACCACACCATCACCTTCGAATGATCGCGAGTTCAATCACCGCACAATACAAACATATTTATTCATGAGTATGTCTGTATGTATCGGTTTGTGTTTACTATGTATTTAAGTATGTCCACTTGTTTTATGGTTTCTTTTTATACAACTTAGAATGGCAAACAAGCTGACGGCCCACGTGATGAAAAGTGGTAACCTTCGCCTAGACATGAGCAGTACCATGGACATAACAGAGTATACTGTTTTGCCCATAATACCCCCATGCATCGCCAGTCCTGAGGACTCAGGTGTTATTCCTCTGTACCTTGTAAATTCACGCCATATCCCACCCATCAAACCGAAACACAGCCATGCAAACACAACTGCTTCACGGTAGAAACACGAATAGGTTTTATAAAATAAAAGTATTTTTCTTTAAAAAAAATAAGTCTATTTTGACGAAATTATATAGTATATGTCATAGTAGGAGAAAACTCTTTCAGTTGAATTAAAAACCATTAAAATGTGTTCAAAATTACCGGAGATACAAAAAATACAATCTGTTCGCGACATTATTTGTATATATCGTAATTTATAGTTGTTAAGTCCCTAGTTAATCGTTTCTGTATTCTGTTATTTTATATAGATTTACATAGATTTAAGATAGTGTAAGTTAAATAAAGTATTCCTTTGCGTGTTGTCGTTATTACCTACGAATAGAAATTGTAACAATAAATAGAATTAAGAAATTGTAAATTGAAATAAAATAAATAAATAGACGCTATAGAGTACCGATCTGAAGAGACACGCGTCTCGTTCATTTTCGCCCCGTCCCGCTCGCACAGATCGCTATCGCGAGTTGGAAACATTATCGTGCGAGCGGGCGGGTATAAAGATAGGCCGCCTCCCGTCGAGCGGCATTCGCTTCCGGGCAGCGACGCACTACACTCGAGAAGAAATAGGACAAGAAGAAAAAATACTCTCTTCAGACGGTACCGGAGGCTTCAGAATAGTAATCGCTGTGTTTCACTCCAGCCTGAACCAACGCCCCTACAGTCCACGCTCACCGAACGGCAGTCCACACCGTTCACAATCATTTTGATAACCGACGGGAAATTCATCGTCACTCTATTCCTCGCTCTATATATATATATATATATATATATATATATATATCGCTGTGCTTACTTTGATGCTATGTGAAATACGCCTGGTGGTATTATATCTTTTATTATTACTATCTTTTATTTAACAAACTATTAATTTTAATATATATTCTTTTCACATAGAATGCAAGTGGCGGTCCGATTGCTGGGCGTGCTGCTGCGACTTCTGAATTTGCTGCTGGCTCCGATTTTCTGGCTGAAGGCTCGGGACCGGCGACCACTACCGCCGGCGCCACCGCCGCTGCTGCTGCGGAGTGCAACCAGCCTTGCTGCTGCCATCAGACAGGGCGAAGTAAGTATTAATTGCAGCCCAACGTCGTGGAGGACCAGTTAACCAAGTCATCCCAAATTAAATTATTTGAAAATATTACCTATAACGCTATTTCTGTCATTGTAGACAAGCAGATGAAGGGTACATAAAGATAGTACTTGAATGGTGGGGAAAAAGGGATTGTTAGTAATGCGGACTACTACATTGCTAGCAATATACTCTGTCAGCTCGACCTAAATGTATCACCTGGAAACCATCGTGCTGAATTCTAGGGGTATTCATCGCGATGGACTAACTGACCTGCCTTTTCGGGGGAAGGGAATTGTTAATAATGAGATTTAACATTCCCATTGCTGGCAATACACCCTACCAGGTCGATCTCCACGCGGTTCTCCCTGGAAACCGTAGTGATTAATTCTTGTTCAAATCCTCACACGTCACTCTTCACTGGTACCCTGCCAGTGTATACCAATAGCGCAGGCGGGACTACCATTTCATATCTGCTGCTGATTTGCACCATCGTACAGCCCGCCATAAACTAAAATTTCATCCCAACCATCTGGACGAGTGGCGGTCCTCCACCGTGCGTTTTTCAAGGCACTTTCTCTCACGCAAAACCATTCTTTGGACTCAACTTCCAGCGGCAGTATTTCCGAACCGATACAACAACATAACCTTCAAGAAAAGAGCATATTCCTTTTTAAAAGGCCGGCAGTACACCTGCTATGCCGTAGGTGTTGTGGGTGACCATGGGCGGAGGTAGTCACTTACCATCAGGCGAGCCGCATGCTCGTTTGCCCCTGTGTTGTAAAAAAAAATCTTCAACAATTAAAAAAGACCTGCCTTTTTATTCTCACCTATTATCCCTGGTACCCTACCAACGTATAGCCTTAGCGCAGCGCGGTTTTACCATTCCATTGTGATCTATTAAAAAACCCTAACGTATATATATAGTTCTGCTATGTTGAGCCGTGACTAATGCTGAATTTACCATTATTTTAGCAACTACAAATACCTTTACCAATTACAAAAGCCTTTCCCAAAACATGTTTCCTTCATCCAATAACCTTGGATCCTTCAAACGTAGCGTGAAAAAGCACTTAGTGATCCGGCATAGTGCGGCCAACCGTTGAGAGTAAATCGTTCTTTCCGGTTGATCGTATTCAGTGACCATATCGTCTCTGTATTTGCTCAGCAACCACATTGGTCACATGTCGTATTATAATAAAAAAAAAATTGGTTACGCAGATATACTGCATAGATAGTATTGCATATCAACATATCGTCATAGTCGTAGAATACTGACGGATCTGACGAATATTACATATAAAGATCCGTCAGTATTCTACGACTATGACGATATCAGCTGTAATTTTTCCACTGCTGTACATAGGTCTTTTCCATAAATAGACGAGTTAACAGTAAGAGTGCCAACAGTTACCACGCTTGACAGGCGCCTTGGCAACCGCAGTTATGAGAGGGACACTGTAACTTCAACTCTTGCATTACCTTAGTCGTCTTTTACGACACCCATGGAATAGGAAGAAGAATGCACGGGAGAAATCGCATATACCATATTCCTCTTAATTTATTATTTTTTTATAAATATTAAGTACGTATTTGTAAGTTTTAAATATTGTCTTTGTTATGTCTGGTGATAAAGTAATAAATATCCATTTAATTGTATCTACTTTTACCGTTTCAACCGTGAAGCAGTTGTGTCTGCATGGCTGTGTTTCGATTTGAAGGGGGGGATATGGCGGTGAATTTACAGGGTACAGAGGAATAACACCTGAGTCCTCAGGAATGGCAACGCATGCGGGGTTTCATGAGCGAAACAGTATACTCTGTTATGTCCATGGTACTGCTCATGTCTATAGGCGACGGTTACCACTTTCCATCAGGTGGGCCGTCAGCTTGTTTGCTATTCTAAGTTGTATAAAAAAATACTTTTACTCATAAAAATATAGTACATCCAAGAGGAGAGGAGCATCAATAGACAATCAATGTATGTTTTTTAATTTGTAACAGCTGCTATGGCGCTTAGTAATTAATATTTAAACGGTGTGTCCCCAACTTGTCGTGCATGCAATCGGTTGCAGCTTGGATGCACAGGCTACGACGTAATTTTCTATTAATTAGCTACCTAACTCGATGTCACACCGTTAGATATTGAGAAACTGTTACGCGTCTACCATCCACTTGATTGTTAATCGCATCAATGGTTTTAACCTGATGTCTCAACAAACAGACAGATATATCTGATGTTATTTAATAAAAAATTTAATACATATTTGGCATGTATTTATTTTTCATTAGGATTGAATGGCACATCTCACGCCATCTTTACGCCGTTTTCCTTGCGGGATCTCCATCTCTTGTTCCATTCCCATTCATATAGCACACACACACGCACACACACATACGCACACACTCACACGCACACACACACACACACACACACGCACGCACGCACGCACGCACGCACGCACGCACGCACGCACGCACGCACGCACGCACGCACGCACGCACGCACGCACGCAAGCACGCACGCACGCACGCACGCACTCACACAAATACACATACACACATACGCACTACTGTAACATGAATTTGACTTCTACAAGTGGATAGTTACGGTTGTGGGGAGAAATGTTTGTGTAAATTCTACAAACTTCTTGCAAAACCGGTAACTGGTTACGGCGAGGTGGACTTGGGTTAAATAGTTTAATGTATGGTATATAATATGCACAACGGGAATTTAATTTATTTATTTATATTTAATTTTAAACTTTCGCCTTGTTTACAAATATTCTAAATACACAATTGGCTTTTAACGCCATGAAAAAACCTTTTATTTATTTATTTATAAAAGATATTCCAAAAATATGTTCACAATAATCAAACAGACTATGTACGGGGGGAAAGGGATTGTTAGCAATGGAGTTTGACAGCCCCATTGCTAGCAATATACTTTATCAGGTCGACCTCCACGTAACTCCCCCTGGAAACCATCGTGAACAATTCTTGTTGAATTCGTCACGATGAGCTAACTGACCTGCTTAATCCTCACCTATCATCCTTCACTGGTGCCCCGCCGGTGTATACCGATAGCGCGGGTGGGGTAACCATTCCATTATCATCCATAAAAAAAAACAGACTATGTACAATGTTATAAGTGAGTAAGTATCTAATGAAAAATGAATATTCAAAAATGCTTAAATCTAAGTTTACTTCAATAAAAATATTCCTTTTTTCTTACTAAGCTTAAGGCTATATGAGCATATCAATTAGAGGCTTTACAGGTAAATATTACCTACATACCTGCTTTATTGCCGATGTTTGGATAAGAAATAATTTTCTAAATCGGTTTACAACTGACAGAGTTATAAGCACCTCCTTCTTTTTGAAGTCGGTTAAAGAACTAGTATTTCTTAGCACAAGAATTGGGATATGAAAAAGGTTCCAAATATTTAGACACGACTACGTATCTTGGGTTAGCTAACACAGAGGGAGATTTTGTACAAAAGTTGTTTGCTTGGGTACTTCTGTCCTATTCGTGTTTCAACCGTAAAGCAGTTGTGTTTGCATGGCTGTGTTTCTGTTTGAAGGGTGGGATATAGTGTGAATTTACAGAGTACAGAGGATTAACACCTGAGTCCTCTGGAATGGCAACGCATGGGGGGTATCATAGGCGAAACAGTATACTCTGTTATGGTCATGGCACTACTCATGTCTATAGGCGACGGTTACCATTTTCCATCAGGTGGTGCCGTCAGCTTGTTTGCCATTCTAAGTTGTATAAAAAAAAAAACCAACAAAAAGTTTCCACTATCATTCACTAAGCATATCTCTCTTTTCGTAGATCACAAGTGAGGAACTGGTCTTCGCGTACATAGACCACGTGAAAGCAGTGAATCCAGTACTGAATGCAATAGTAGAGGAGCGTTATAGAGCGGCCATAGAAGATGCGAAGGCGGTCGACCGTAAAATAGAAGAAGCAAAGAAGAATGGAACGTTACAGCCACTTACCGCTGAGAAGCCCTTACTCGGTGTACCATTCACAGTTAAAGAGAGCTGCTCTCTCATTGGTAAGTTACTGTCGTAATGCAATTTGCAATAGGTCGATGGTATTGTTTACATGATTCGGAATGACTAACAAGTTGCAGTGGATTCATTAGAAATATAGATTACAAAGTGTTTGGAAATGACTCTATTTGAATAACCCTCCGCCAACCGTATAGGACAATATCGTCCGCGCCAAGATTGGACCTGATGCATAGTGAGGACTTAGATGATTTCTTTGTAAGAAAAAAGGACGGGGCCTCGGACCCCTCTTTAAAAAAAAACTTACACACGCACGTACCTCACAGGCAAGGATATGAAAGGCATTTATATGAAGAATAAATCTCCAAAACATTTCTTCATAAAACTAATTTATATCCAAGATATCGATTTTTTTGTGAAATCTTAGAAATTACGATTTATGAAGCGATTACAAAATTTTATTTCACCAGGGGGTAAAGTATTCAAGTCAAAAACTATGGAAACAGAAAAAAGAAATCTAGAACATTTTTCCCGAAATTTTTTTGGATTTTTTCCCTACCTTTAAGTAGGTCAAATTATCGTCTGGGACGATTGACGTCGACGGTTGAGACGGTGTCTTCAACCATCATGGACGTCCGTCAACGTGTATAATGGTATAGATAGAAGATACAGTTAAGAAGATATTTTATTATTAAGAAGATAGAAGACAGTTATTATTGTTTACATTCTAAAGTAGTTTTCAATAAAGCTTAACATAATCTATACTTATAATAAATCTGTAAAGAGGTCAATTCTGTACATGAAATATATTTCCAAAATAACTATCAGCGGGTGATTAGTGATCGATACTGATGCCAAAAATGCAATCAGTAAAATTTTTGTCTGTCTGTTTGGATTGATACCTGCTGCAGATTTTCACCATCGTACAACCCGCCATAAACTAAAATTTCATCCCAACCATCTGGACAAGTGGCGGTCCTCCACCGTGCGTTTTTCAAGGCACTTTCTCCCACGGACAACCACTCTTTGGAATCAACTTCCAGCAGCAGTATTTCCGAACCGATACGACAACATAACCTTCAAGAAAAGAGCATATTCCTTTTTAAAAGGCCGGCAGCACACCTGTAATGCCGTAGGTGTTGTGGGTGACCATGGGCGGCGGTAGTCACTTACCATCAGGTGAGCCGCATGCTCGTTTGCCCCCTGTGTTGTAAAAAAAAAAAAAAAAGAAACAAAAACTAGTCGACGGATTTTAACGAAACTTGATACAATTATTCTTTATACTCCTAAGCAGGTTATAATATACTTTTCATCACGCTACGACCAATAGGAGTAGACCAGTGAAGGGAAATGTGTCTGTTACATCAAAACCACTGAACCGTGAGGAAGGACATAGGCTACTTATTTTACGAAAAACGACTGAAACGCGGACGAAGTCGCAGGCAACAGCTAGTAAACAATAAAGTAATTAAATAAAAGTAGACAAAGTTTATTCAAGTTAACTTAATTATAAGCAACAAGAACATTTTATACTTTCTAAAAAGACCCCAAACTGTACTATGAGTGTACAAGAAAATCGAAATATTACTGTCGTTCAATCTCAAAGTGCATGTCGTCATTTTTATAACAATCCACAGCAAGCGGAACTAAAGTTCAGCAAAGCGCAGCCATTTTTAGAATTTGAAATTTTAATGAATGTTTCCTCGAGAGTTTTACTGCGAGCAGAGTACTCCGATGCCTGTTTGTTATATTCTTTATAACGATGTAAAATTTCTGCTTCGCTGTCTAAATATTTGCTGTTAGTTCACTGGCCTCTTCGACTATTCTGTTTTTTCCACAAAAAAAGCTAAACTGTGCCGTGACATAATTAATATTGACTCACTGACCAAGTAGTCATTAGCTTATTGACTTATAATGCTACTTCCTGTAGCATTTTATAGATCTTTAAAATCAGTTAAGAGTTTTTTTTTTTTTTTTTAGTTTATTATTTAACTCTTTATGAGTTAAATAAATAAATAAAATGCCGTTAAAAAAATTAATCTCTCACTGTAAACTACTTACAGTCTCAGAAATGTATAGTACGTGAAAATTGGACTAGAAATTATTGGCGCCTCAAACTAGAACATTTCTCTTCCCCATCGGTTACCAAATCTTCGAGTTCTATCCAGCCCGTTGCTAACTCAGTTTACTACATAACATCAATACCTAACTGTCATTATTTTTCCACTTTCAGGCATGTCAAATGCCGTGGGATGCCTAGAACACGCTGGCCGGAAAGCCACGAAGGACGGCGAAGCTGTAAGACTGGTGAAGCAAGCAGGAGCGATACCGCTCCTCGTGTCCAACACCCCGGAACTGTGCCTCGGATGGGAAACGACGAATTTATTGCGGGGAACCACCAATAACCCATATTGCTTGAACAGGACACCGGGAGGATCGTCGGGCGGTGAGGTGAGAGATTCCATTTGGAAAGGTTAATTTAGATGGATGAAAATATAATGGTAACTCAGTTGTTCTATTAGTATGAGCTAGCGAGGTACCTTGGGATGATATAATTAAAGATGAAATCAGGCCAGTTGGCCCATCCCTGGTAATTTACTAGGGATGGTAAATTAATCACAATTGTTTCCAAGAAGGACCTTAAGGAACTAGTCCCAACAGGATATATTTTTTTTATACAACTTAGAATAGCAAACAAGCTGACGGCCCACCTGATGGAAAGTGGTAACCGTCGCCTATAGACATGAGCGGTACCATGGACATAACAGAGTATACTGTTTCGCCCATGATACCCCCCATGCGTTGCCATTCCTGAGGACTCAGGTGTTAGTTCTCTGTACCCAGTTAATTCACGCCATATCCCACCCTTCAAACCGAAATACAGCCATGCACACACAACTGCTTCACGGTTGAAACACGAATGGGACAGAGGTACCCAAGCAATCGACTTTTGTACAAAGTCTCCCTCTGGTATTGCAGATGATGGGGCCATTTTAGCCCCCCCCCCCCCTGCTGAATTCTAACAATCCTATCCACCAATTTGACTGGGTTTAAAAAGCGAAGTCTCATTCATATTTTTATGTATATTTACAAATCAGCGATTTGCCCGCTAGTTCGTATGCTTGGATTTCAGAAATAGGAAAATTAATAAAATGGACCAATTCTAGATCAAGTCAACATAAAACACCGGTTTTTAAATGGGATCTTCAGGAACAGAAATGTGAAAACCGCATCCAATTTGATGTAGTAATTTTTGTATGACGCCAGCACTGACTATACAGGCACACAGAGATAAAATTTCAAAAAAATATTACTTTGTCTTCTATTGCTCTTATTTAAGACCCTTCAAAAGGGAGATAAAGAGGTTTCTTTAGAATCGGCTGTACGTGCGTAATACCCCTGGTATTGCAGGCGTTCATAGGCTACGGTAACCGCTTACCATCAGGTGGGCCGTATGCCACCTCAGTGGTATAAACAAAAACCCTTCATATGATTTTTTCATTAAATCCCCCATGTACAGGCATCACCTAGATACAATTTTATTATATTTTTCTGAAATATTATCCACTTGGAGATCAAAATGGTGGTACTTTTTTTTTTATGGGTGAAAGTGGTATGGTAACCCCGCCTGCGCTAACGGAATACGCTGGCGGAGCACCAGTGAAGGATGATAGATATATGAGATAGTGATAGATAGATGCGAATGAAAACAGGCCAATTAGTCCATCATGATGAATTCATCAGGAATTGACCATGATAGTTTCCAGGGGGAACCGCGAGGAGGTTGACCTGGTTGGGTATATTGCTAGTAATGCGATTCTCAGTCTCCATTACTAACAATCCCTTTCCCCCCAAATGGTGGTACTCGTAATACGATGTGTTAAGTTATAATTATACTGTAGCCTTACTAACATTACGTAAGCGGACAACAGCGTACTCAACTCGGGGCAAATAATGACAGAGTGTGAATTGAAAATATTTAACACTTCCATATTGGGTCGTTTTATTATCACAATACATAGATATATATCAGCTATCACATATATGTTACATTTTACATACATATTACATTTATGTGTATATAAAAAAAAGAATTATAATATGACTTAGCAATGTTTTTAATGAGATTAATATTTTTTCTCAATTTAATTATATAAAGTAATTTATTTATTTCAACTTAGTATGGCAAACTAGCTGACGGCCCACCTGATGGAAAGCCGTAACCATTGTCTATAGACATGAGCAGTATACCTCTAGCGCAGACAGGGTTATTATTTCATTATCACCCATTAAAAAAACGGTCGACCTCCACGCGGTTCCCCTTGAAAATCATTACGGTTAATTCGTGTTATATTCATTACAATGGGCCAACGTATCTGCTTTCATCTTCACCTGTATTCTGACAATGATGCTCCGTTAGTATATACTTAAAAGCGTTAAAAGAAACTCACCTGACTTAATCCTCACTTATTACTTATTATCCCACCAAACTATACCAGACGGGGACAGACGGGGTTATCATCCCATAAAAAATTAAGTGTTATAATATCTTAATTACAATACTGGTAACGTTGCACCAGGGGGCGCTGCTAGCGTGCGGCGCGTCCGCCCTGTCGGTGTCGTCCGACATCGCCGGCTCCATCCGGCTGCCGGCCGCCTTCTGCGGCGTCTTCGGACACAAGCCCACGCCAGGTCAGATCAATACACACTATTTTATTATTTCAGCCGTTAACGGTCCACTGCTGAACATAAGCCTTGCCCATAAGGCAGCCTTTCTCAAAGTGGGCGATAATGCCCCCTTGTGGGCGCTGCAGGCCTAAAGAGGGGCGGTAAGAGACCAAGACAAAAAATTAGGGCGTTGTGTAGAAGCTTGGGGGGTGATTTGTTGATCTTGAAATAATAGTGGTTTTTAAGTAGGTCAAAAAATGTGGACGCTAAAAAATAATTTATTCTCAAAGTGGGCAGTATACAAAAGAAGTTTGGGAACCCCTGCCATAAGGGGTGTTTTGCTATTAGTTGTCACGCTTGGCAGGCGGGTTGGCAAGCGCAGTTAGGCTTTTAGAGATGTTTTTAGAGGACCGCTGCTGCCTATCCTTCGCTCTCCGTTAATCGCCTCTTACGACACCCACGGGAAAGAAAGGGGTACCGATTGGTCGTAGGTTCGATTCTCACAAAATTTTTAAATATTATTCACAAATGACTGTTCTTATTGAAGTGAGTGTTTTTAGGTATAATATGTGTGTATTCTTTCTTTCATTCAAAGTTTAGCTATACAAAATTTTCTTATGTACATCATATCAGCCTTTAAATGTCCACGGCTGAATATAAGCGTCCCTCTTGGGGGTATTTGCCAGTAGTTGCCACACTTGGCAGTTGGATTGGCAACCGCAGTTAGGATTTAGAGCTGTTTTTAGAGGGACGCCGCTGCCTATCTCTCGCCCTCCCTTAATCGCCTCTTACGACACCCACAGGAATGGAAGGGGTGGCCTATTCTATGCCGGGACCACACGGCCAATGTACTAATGGACGTTATGTAATAATTCCAGGTTTAATATCAATAGAGGGTCACATACCGACACTGAGCGACGAGAACTATCCGCGGTTCTTGACCGTGGGTCCGATGACGCGCAAGGCTGAGGATCTGCCCCTCATGATGAACATCATGGCCGGAGAGAATAGGCACAAACTGCAGCTGGACAAACCAGTCAACATGAAGGACTTAAGGGTGAGTGACATTGACTTTACGTCCCATGTCACATTTGCAATAGGTCACGATATTTATGCAATCTGACATAATTATAGCCTTTTATATATGTATAATTGTTTATCATGATGGCAGCTTGTCAAATACGCATTTTGACGTAATGACAACTCGTCATATTCAAAGTCTGTCATAATCGTAGCTCGTCATATACGTAGCTCTTAATATACGTAGCTCCAATATACATAGCTCGTTTTATACGTAGCTTTTCGTATACGTAGCTCGTCGTATTCGTAGTTCGTCATATACGTATTTCGTTATATACGTAGCTCGTCATATAAATAACTCCTAATATACGTAGCTCGTCATATAAGTAACTCCTAATATACGTAGCTCTTAATATACGTATCTCGTTATATTCGTAGCTCGCCGTATACGTAGATCCTATATAAGTAGCTCGTCATATACGTAGCTCGTCATAAACGTAACTCGTCATATACTCAGTTTGTCATAATCATGGAACGTCATATTATAAACATTTCGTTACGAATATTCGATAACTGATATTTTTTATTGTTTTTGAAGAAACATTTGTTTTATTGTTAGATTTTTCAATTTGTAAGTTTATTTAAATTAAAATATGTACATTCAAATACTAGTTTGTTACATTATATGGAATTAAAATCCATAATTATTTGTGCACTCTGAGCAAAATGTCCACCTATCTCGAAATTTTTAGTAAAATACTGATCTAGGAAAACAAATTTCACAGCTACTAAGAAAAAACACTAATGTTTTTGTCTTTTGCTAATTTTGCATTTGATCGATAATAATATTTATCGTACTGTCCGTCGTAAAAGCTACCATAGACAAGTATTCTAAAGAGTAATAGTACTGAATTCTACCATAGACAAGTATTCTAAAGAGTAATAGTACTGAATTCTACCATAGACAAGTATTCTAAAGATTAATACTACTGAATTCTACCATAGACAAGTAATCTAAAAATTAATAGTACTGAATTCTACCATAGACAAATATTCTAAAGAGTAATAGTACTGAATTCTACCATAGACAAGTATTCTAAAGATTAATACTACTGAATTCTACCATAGACAAGTAATCTAAAAATTAATAGTACTGAATTCTACCATAGACAAGTATTCTAAGGAGTAATAGCACTGAATTCTACCATAGACAAGTATTCTAAAGAGTAATAGTACTGAATTCTACCATAGACAAGTATTCTAAAGATTAATACTACTGAATTCTACCATAGACAAGTATTCTAAAGAGTAATAGTACTGAATTCTACCATAGACAAGTATTCTAAAGATTAATAGTACTGAATTATACCATAGACAAGTATTCAAAAGAGTAATAGTACTGAATTATACCATAGACAAGTATTCTAAAGAGTAATAGTACTGAATTCTACCATTTGTTCCCCAGGTGTACTACATGACGGAAGCGGCCAATTCCCCCGCCTTACTCGACGTACACGATTGCATCCGTGACAAAATCAAAAGCGCTGCCCAATACCTAGAGAAGGAGTGTGGCTCTAAAATCTGCGAGGTAAGTGTTACCAACTTGAAATTTGCATATTAGCCGTTAACTGTCCACTATTGAAAATAGACCTCCCTTGGGGGGGTTCCACGTAGTTTACACGATTGGCAGGCCGGTTGGCAACCGCAGTTAGGTTTTGGTGATGTTTTAAGAGAGACGCTGCTGCCTATCCCTCGACCATTAGTTCCTTAGTCACCTCTTACGACGCTCACGCGAAAGGAAGTGATGGCTTATTATTTGTTTGCAAGTAGAAATGCCATGTGATCCCCGGCATAGAATGGACCGCCTCCTCCTTTCCCGTGGGTGCCGTAAGAGGTGGTTAAGGAAACTTAACGGTCGAGGAATGCGCAGCAGCGTCCCTCTTAAAACGTCACGAAAAGCTTGACTGTTGACGGGTTGCCAACCCGCCTTTTTTTTATACAACTTAGAATGGCAAACAAGCTGACGGCCCACCTGATGGGAAGTGGTAACCATCGCCTATAAACATGAGCAGTACCATGGACATAACAGAGTATACTGTTTCGCCCATGATACCCCCCATGCGTTGTCATTCCTGAGGACTCAGGTGTTATTCCTCTGTACCCTGTAAATTCACGCCATATCCCACCCAGCCTACCAAGCACGGCAAGTATGTGCAAAATCTCCCTTCATGAGAGAGGCCCATATATTTAGCAGTGGACAGTTACCGGCTGGTATGATGTGATGAAGGACATTTTATTCCATAAATACAACAAATTTATAAATAAAAAATGTTGTTAAATTACAGGAAAAGTTCAAGGAGCTAGAGAATTCTGTGGAGATATCAATATCAGTGTTCTTCTCGATGAAGGACATACCGAACATGCTTCAAGACCCGGCCAATCCAAAAGTAAGTAATTTCTTTACTCTTATTTGAGTAATCGAAGTGGAACACGGACAAAAATCACGTGTAAATACTGATAAATCCTTACTAATATTATAAACCTGAAAGTGAGTTTGTTTGTTTGTTTAATTATTACCCTATAGTGCCTTAAAAGCTTAACCGATTGCTAGGATATTTTTCTTTTAACCCTTCGAGTGCCGACGAGCGCCATCTCGCTCGTGCGCATTGCAACTAAAAGTGCCACGAGCGTCATAGCGCTCGTGAAATCAGTCGCTGTTTAACTTGCTGTAAAAAAAAATTATTAAAATTGGATAATTTTTGGAGGAGATACAGTCTTTTCAGAGACAAGGGTAAATGACAACAACACGACAAAGATTTCTTTGGCATTTTTAAGTAGATATGAATAAAAATCAATAGCACTAAAAGTATGACAGTGGAATGTTAAACCCCGCCAGTGCCAACGGTATACAATAACGGGGCACCAGGGAGGGATGATCGGTGAGGATGAAATGGCAGGTCAGTTAGCCCGTCGTGATGAATACACCTAGAATTTAGCACTATGGTTTCTAGGAGGAATTTCCCCCTGGAAATTCCCTATGGAATTTCCAGTAGAAACATATGATTATTTAAAAATGCTTAAATTTAAATTGTCATGAATAAAAAATATTTCTTATAATACTAGCGGAAACAATTAAAGGTTCAAAAAAAACAAAATTTTCGGCGAGCTTCCAAATTTCTGTATCTCTGATAAGAATTATTGTATTGAAGTAAAAAAAAAAAACAATTTAAAGCTTGAAATTTCAAATTTTTGTCTTAATATGACTGAAAAATCGTAAAAAATAGGACTTTTATTTATTTATTTATTCTTTATTGTACACAAAAAAATTACAACATATAATATATATGAAATAAAGATGTACAACAGGCGAGCTTAACTCTGTAAGAGTTCTCTTCCAGCAAACCCTGAGGACTAATGTTAAGTGTTTCTCTTATAGGTCATTATATTCTTAAAAGTCCTACAGAGTTTCAATTCAACCTATCAAGCTCTTTTTGTGTGTCATTTGATTGATTTTTTTTTTATTTAAGAATCACATTTTTTGCTTTTAAATGCTCATAATCTGTAAAAAAATAGAACAAATAAACATTTTTTTCTGATTTTTTACAAGACAAGGAGGCGTTTAAGATTATAAAAAAAAATCAAAACTTAAAAATATAGGCGATTTGAAAAATCACTGAAATTTTAAATTTTCTTTTTAGTCCTTAATTTTTTCCGCTAGTGTATTTTTTTTTTCATACCATTGCGGTGGCAAACAAGCAGACGACCCACCTGATGGTAAGCGCTTAACGTAGCCTATGAACACTTGCAATACCAGAGGTATTACGCGCGCATTGCCGACCCTGAAGAAACCTCTTTACCACCCTTTTGAAGAACCCCATGCTGTAGTCTCTTGGGAAAATAACCTGAGTGTTGGTGGGAGGAAACATCTCTGAAACCGCGCAGTACGCGAATTATTGAAATACTGTACATATCACTTTGTTTATTGTACAATAAATAAATAAATATTTTGCAGCGTGACAAGAGCTTAGTGTTGGAATTGATCAAGTACATGTTCGGCGGCGGCTCGCGGTCGCTGCAGGCGCTCGGCTTCGCGCTTATAAACAAGACGAAGCTCTTCATGCCGCAGTCGCGGAACGGATACTACAGCGCCAAGGCGCAGAAACTTCGAGAACATTTCGAGGTAATTTATCAACTAGTGTAGTAAATCTAGTCTATTACGGACAAGCTTGACCGCGACTTGACCTTTGTACTCTGTACATTTATTTTTTGATGCAACTTAGAATGGCAAACACGCTGACGGCCCACCTGATGGAAAGTGGTAACCGTCGCCTATAGACATGAGCAGTACCATAGACATAACAGAGTATACTGTTTCGCCCATGATACCCCCATGCGTTGCCATTCCCGAAGACTCAGGTGTTATTCCTCTGTACCCAATAAATTCACGCCATATCCCACCCTTCAAACCGAAACACAGCCATGCAAACACAACTGCTTCACGGTAGAAACACGAATGGGACAGAGGTACCCAAGCAATCGACTTTTGTACAAAGTCTCCCTCTGGTCGTAGTGTGATATGGCTTTATCAAAAATTTTAGTAAAAAAAATCCCACCTTTTTAAAAATTGTCCGCAAAAAGAAGTGATACATTATGTCGAGTGTCACTCGACAGTGGAGTGAAAAAGGTTAAATGGAACTGTTCATACAATGTATAGAGAGAGCTGGGCGAGACGGGCGTGTTCCTGTACCCGGTGTTCATCGCGCCGGCGCACCGCCACCAGGAGGTGTTCCTGCGGGCGTCCGGCGTCATGTACACCATGGTGTTCAACATCCTCGGCATGCCCGCCACCACCGTGCCCGTCGGCTTCCACGACGGGCTGCCCGTCGCCATACAGGTACACTCCACCGCTTTTCCTAGTTTAAGAGGTTATACGAGACTATAATCCTTTTTTTTATACCACTAAGGTGGCAAACAAGCATACGGCCCACCTGATGGTAAGTGGTTACCGTAGCCTATGAACACCTGCAATACCAGAGGTATTACGCGCGCGTTGCCGACCCTGAAGAAACCTCTTTAGCCCTCTTTTGAAGAACCCCATGCTGTAGTAAATAAGGGTAATAAATAGTAATAGTAATCTAAGGGTATAAATACTAGTGTCCGACCGAACTTTCGGTTTCGGCTAGTTTCGGCCACAAATTCTACTTTCGGCCTTAGTTTCAGTCTAATTTGACAATTAGCTGACAAAAAGTAGACCCGCTTTTAAGGCTTGATGCTCTATCTATAAAATCTAAGTTTGTACCATTTATAAGCACGAAGCACTGCATCTTCCTTCATCATGCGCACGGTCAAGGAGTGGATCTCTCCGCCTGATTATGTTTTTCCATCCAAATATAATCTGAACCAATTAAAGGCAAATCTAAATAAGCTATTCGTGAACCCACGAGCCCCATCTTAGACCACGTCATCGCTTTTCATCAGGTGAGATCGTGATCAATCGCGGAACCCTTTTAATCTATACTTATAATAAATCTGTAGAGAGATCAATTCTGTACATGAAATATATTTCCAAAATAACTATCAGGTGGTGATCAGTGATTGATACTGATGCCAAAAATGCAATCAGTAAAATTTTTGTCTGTCTGTCTGTATGTTCGTTATAGAAACAAAAACTACTCGACGGATTTTAACGAAACTTGGTACAATTATTCTTCATACTCGTGGGCAGGTTATAGTATACTTTTCATCACGCTACGATCAATAGGAGTAGAGCAGTGAAAGGAAATGTTGGGAAAACGGGAGAAGTTACTCCATTTTTAAACTTTTGTCGCGTGTGCAGCCTTAATGGCCACTTTTTAAAATGTAAAAATGTCTACCCGTGCGACGCCGAGATGGGCCGCTAGTAGTAAATAAAATCGTACAATTAGCCTACACTAGAGTAATATTTTTTCTTTATTTTTCATACCATGACAGAAAACATGCACATAGCCCATGGTAAAATGGTGGTATACAGTCGCTGTAGAGTAGATTGTAGTATTAGGCAGTGAATTTATATGGTACAGAGGAATAACACCTGAATCCTCAGGAATGGCAACGCATGGGGGGTATCATGGGCGAAACAGTATACTCTGTTATGTCCATTCTAAGTTGCATAAAACAAATCTTAATTATTTTTACAATTAAAATTTAATTTCAATTATGTTGCAGGTCGTAGCAGCGCCAAATCAAGACCGGCTATGTTTGGCGGTCGCGAAGCAGTTGGAGGTCGGTTTCGGTGGGTGGCGACCGCCAAATCTACATAAATAAATAGTTATACCTAATTATAAGCATATCAACAATCACATGTATGGCGTGGTTGCTTTTCTACTGGGAACTTACATGTTTAAGGTTGTCTCTCTCGAAGTAGAGATTTTTTTATGTCAATATTAAATATAATTAAACCAATTTGATTGGTGTTACATATATATATATATATATATATATATATATATATATATATAGTAAATATTGGTGTATATCCAGAGAACTTTACGAACTGTATTTGATCTAAGGTGCAGCAAAGAAGTTTTAAATATGAGGATTTTTTTTTATCACGTATGGACGTATTTATTAAATATCCCATTCGTAGAGAGTAATATAATTATTCTCGCTTATTTAATCCCATATGATTTGTCTTTTACCACCCGTTCCAAGCTGAAGCAGTTTGGCATTATTTTGTTATAGCCGGCCCCAATTATAAAACGAATTTATTCAGAAGTATTTACATATATATTTTTTATTTATTCAAAAATATATATGAAATATAATAAATATATATGAAAAAATATTAGATATTTCACTAGACATGCGCTTAATTGACCTTTTTGTAAATTTCTGCATTTAATGTAAAACATTTCTAATATATATAATATGTTGGAATTGGAATATGTATTTTAATAGGTGTTACCTAAAAAAATTTTTGACATTGATGACATTTTTACTCTGTGTACGTATGTACCATAGATTAAGGTAGTTGGTCACTAAACAAAATTAAATAAGAGACATTAATGGCGCTGGAATATGGGGTTTTTGTTATTTTGTAATAAATAAATCTATGAATATGAAGTGACAGATATTACGCGATCTTTTCTTAATAAATTATAACACATAATCGCAATGTTTCTTGCTAGTATGTTTTTTATACAAAGTTGTACAATACAAGAGAGTAACGACAAAAATTATGTTAAATTATTACTATATCAATAAAAATAAATAAAATCACTTGCCAATTTAGAAATTTTGACTCAAATTATCTTTAATTACAAAATAACAAAAGTACACTCCATTCTAGCGCCATCTAGTATTTAGTTTAGCCTATTTTGTTAAGTGATCATTCACCTCGAGCATGGTGTCTGCGGTCAAGAATTTCCCGCCAAAACTTCTGTCAAAAGTTAGACAAGTCTCTCATCGGGAATGAGATTAAGTGTCTATTATGTATTAGTAAAAAAAAGTGACAAATATAAACAGTTATGATAATTTACTGTTATGTCTAATCTCTTGGAACCCTAAGTATTATTACCTGTAAATTGGTTGTAATAGTAAAATATATGGGTAAAATGCAAGTAGGTATTTAATGTAAATAGTTTAAGATATGTCGACAGATTTTAAATGTACACAATGTATTTTGAATAAGTGCCCAGATAATAAGAATCATTAAATTCTTAAAATGTGATGTGGAAAACAAATACTATTTTCTATGTATTTAATTGTACTTCGAACTTCATTTTCGTTCTGAAGCGCTGTGAAGTTACAGGAGTTTTGGATGATTGTATTACACGATACTATGAAATTATTCTGTAGAAATTATTTGTACATGTACTTGTTCAGTATGTAATTTTGTTACGATATTACAAATAAACCCGTCGTATTTAATTATTTGTGTTTTTTTTTTATAATATTCTTACCTTAACCCAGACGTAAAGACAGGTGATTGTGTGTTTGCCCGTATGGAATAGTCACTTAAGAACTAACTTTCCTAGCGGTTTTCGGTTCTTCAAGCTGTGTAACCAGCCCATTGCCACTTTAGCTTGCTTAAATACTTCGGGCTATGTCCGTCACTTTGCTTATTCTGTGGATATCTTAATTTCAGATTAATGCTTACAATATACTCCTTCAGTTCGACCTCTTTATAGTTTCCCGTATTAACTATTTCGGCTATTCCTGATGAATTTGAACCAATTGACTTTAGTAATTATTTTTTATAAAAACAAACACTAATCGATAAGGGGGGGGGGGAGGGAGAAGGGATTGTCAGTAATGAAGATTAGCAATCCTATTAAGCAGCAATATATCCTATTAGGTTGACTTCCACGCGGTTGTCCTTGGAAACCTTGGAAACGTGATTGAATTATTAATGAACATGTCACTGTGGGCCGAGTGACCAGCTTCACCATCATCAATCATCCCTCATCGCAGTACCCCGCTAATGTATACCGAAAGCGCAGCCAGAGTAACTATTCCATTGTCATCTATTAAAAAACACTAAACAATAAAAGGCGAGAAGAAATTATTAGTAACACCAGGCGATCTCCACGCTGTTCCCCTGAAATCATAATAGTTAATTCTTGTTGAATTTGTCACGGTGGGCCGACTGACCTACATTCAACCTCACATATCAATCATTGCCGACTTATACCAATAGAGCAAGCAGGATTATTATTCCATTTTCAACCATTAAAACATCGAACGATCGCTCCCTAGTTGCAAGATAAGTGAAATGCACTTTTGTTTAGCAACCGGCGCCATTAGCAATCAATATAGAGAACTAATTCTTATATACAATAATAATTTTAAATCTAAAATAATTCTGCAGGAGAAGTACTAATGATCGCTTACTAATTACATTTGGGTGCCGTACTTTATAAATAAATTATATGATTTATGAAGAAGATTTAATCAGCTGTCAAAAACTAATTTTATTATAGTCGATAATATTGTATAATTATTATATAGCGTATATGCTATAAATTATCAGATAAGTTCTCGTATGAATAAAAATTCATTTCAGTTTAGAATGAAATCTTATTTTTTACAACTTAATAAAGAATTCTACCTATTCTTAATCTATGTCCCATTGTTATTCTTTCACAATGTGGAGTAACGAAAGAGCAACATTTATTACGTCACTACATCTAAATAGATAGGCACTACGCAAGTGTATATGAAGCATAATCGAATAATATGGGTACAAAAGTCACGTGTGCACAAGCTTATATTGCTAATGTGATGGTTGATTTTTTGTTCCCATTAAGTTACATTTATATTACTTATAATTGTTTATAAAGCAAAATTAATACAATATATTTGGGAATAAGTAGTTAACTAGAATATATATTAATACTGTGTCCATTTATTTTAAATATAGGTATCGAAAAAAAAAAATACAGTTCTCGATTTTCTCTTGTGGACCGCACTTAATTATGTTTTCTTTCCATTTATGTAAATATGGCAACACTAAATAACGACGTTCTTGTGAATGCATGCGACATGACGCGCCGGTGAACTTTTATATAAATTTGACGTAATTTTTCTGTGCATATCTTGAATTTAAGGTGAAATATTGTTATCATTGTTATTTTAAACTTTGTTTTGTGAGTGAATGCGATATTAATCGTGTATTGTTGTTGCAGATTTCACAATGGCCGATCAAGTAGATTCAATGTCAGATGCCGAGTTGCGGACAAAACTGGCCGAGCATGGGTTTCCTATTATGCCTATAACTGCTTCTACAAGAAAACTGTTGGTGAAAAAATTAAAACTCGTACTAGACAATAAGAGTAAACCGAGGAACAGCGTCGATAGTAAGGTGGAAAGTCGGCGCTCGTTGGCGCGATACTCCAGCGGGGAAGAGTCTGATGATACCTCTAATAGTGTTAAAGATAAAAGGGGTCGTCGCACGACCACCGGCGGGGCCATGCTGCCGCCAGTGACGAGCAAAGCCCGCCGGCCTCCGTCCAAAAAAGGCTCGCCAGTTAAGCGTGACTCCGATAGAGGGTCAGAATCAGAAGAGGAAAAACCACCTGTGCGCACCCATGAGGAAGTGGAAACCGTAACTACGAAGCGTATCACTAAAACTTACGTGAACTCGACTGAACAGGATGATTATGAAACTGGTTCAGATAGTGATGTGGACACTGATAAAAAGACATCTCTATTCCGAAGCAGTTCAAGATCTAGTGACTACATATCCAGCACCCATCCTACCAATGACGCATCCACTAGTCCACCAAAATCCTCAATATTCTCTCGTCCGTCCATATCACCAACAGGTTTCACTTCTTCATTAACATCTTCCGACCATTTGAATTCAATTCGTACCAGGCTTGGTCTGACATCAACATTTGGAGACAGACCTTCTGTGAGCAGTTATACATCGAGTTTTCCAACATCTAGTTACCAACCATCAACATCTACAGTGGATGAAGTGGAATCTCCATATTTAAGTAACTTCACGAGACGTCTGTCTGCCTTAAAGGCTGACCCACCCAAACCCACCTCATATTTAGACAGGGACACAAACAATGGAAGTACAATATTAACTCCACGCAGGTCATACATAACTGGAGTGTCCAGATCCGATGTTATAGACTATAAAACTGCCAATGACAGGAAATTTTTGAAAAATAACCTTGTGTCTCTCGCTCTGGTCGGTCTGGTGGCACTTTTTTTTTTTTGCTTATTTTTTATGTATATAGTTAAGAGAAATGATATCACATCAGTGGTGGATGATCAGAACAGCATTATACCATTATGCCAGCTGAATATACCTGGCAATAGGCCAGGTATCAACTGTGTGCCTAAAGAACAAGTGAGCTACGCAAAAGATCTGCTCAAAGTCATTCACCCTGAATTGACAGCTAGGGCTGCCGCATACAAGTGTAATGTGCCCAACGCTGTGCCTTATTTGACAGAACGAGAAATACTTGACATTGCAAATGCTAAAGCTGAGACTGTAGACATCAGCCAATGTCGTACTGACCTCAATAACCTGCAAGTATTGTTGGTAAATAATCCACGATGGGGCCTCAGTGTTGTCCAGTTAAAAAATCTTTACACTAAAGATGTTGAATATTCTGTAATTACTTCTACGGATGTTGTAGTGCAACAACGCAACAAGGGCAGTGTTGCCCTGACTATCACTGACCCATCCACACCCTTTACTTGCTTAATTGTAAACACATTGTACTCAGCAGGGTCCACTTTTGTCCTTGTCTCTATAATTTCGATTTTAATGCTTGGACTTCATAGATTATACAAATATTATGTGGCATATCAGAAGAGAAAGAGGGAGGATATATACTCAATGGTGGAACAAATAATTGATGTTATATCTCAGGAAACTGAGGACAGTGGGGAACCTTACATATCTGTTGACCATGTTCGCGACACACTAATATCACCCCAGAATAGGGAGAAAATGGCATCAGTATGGGACGCAGCTGTTAAATTTATTCAGAAAAACGAGAGTAGAGTCCGTATGGAAGTCCAATCTGTAGATGGAGAGGACTGTAGAGTCTGGAGGTGGGTGTCCTCCCAAAGCAGCCCTAAACGTAGTGCTGCTTGGCAAGGACAGGCTTTCGAGACCCAAGAGGGTTCTGTAAACAATTTGACAGTGTCACCAACTCCTTGCTTGAAAATTCGCTATATGTTTGACAAGAACGATACAAACCCTAACTTGAGGGCTGTAATTCAAGATGCGATTTTGGAGAAGTGTGGCGAGGTGTGCAACATCCTGCATATTGATATCGAGAGGTCTTCCTGCTGTGTGTATGTGAAGTGTGCGACGCCGACTGATGCAGGCATCGTGTACCGCAGCCTGCATGGCTGGTGGTACGAGGGGCGGCTCATTACTGTCAAGTACTTACGTTTGGAACGCTACATGCAGAGGTTCCCCAGCTCGCCCTCTGTTGGCCCTTACCTGAAATTATCCCGCGTGCGGCGCGCTTGGGACGAGTAATGGTGCTATTAAGACAGCGCCTTAATAATATACAATTCGCATAACTGATTTATAACTGAACAAAAATAATAAAGAGTTATAATTGTTTGCTAATTATTTATTGCAAATTAAAAGCTCTATCACTAAAATAAATATTTTGAATTAAAAGTAATGCTAGTTCTGTAGGTATAAAAAGTGTCTTTTGTTTAGATTGACCGTTCTCTATTCAAGAGATAAATAAATAAAAATAGATCCAGTAAGGGTGTAATAGACTGTTACATTTTGGAGTTGAACCAAATTATAAAAATTCAACAATTTGTTCATAATATTAATTTTATCTTTTAGCGTAATTGTTTTTTTTTGTAAATTGTCAAGGCAGATAGTAAGTAGTTTATATTTTGTCCAATATTATTATTATTATAATGCCAATTTGTTAATTAAAATGCATTATAATATATTCACGTCAGAAATGTGTCTTCATGCAGTCAATAATGTTGCATGAAATTTTAATATCACTATTGTTATGTTTTTGTAAAATGTATGATTGATCTAATGTTATAAGCTTATTAAAATGTGACCAGCGTGGCTAGTTTTGCATTTTGTCAATTAAATATAATTCCATTATCACAACAGGCATCTATATCTGATGTGCCTCTCAAAATTTGATAACTTGATCTAATTTACTAACGTCATGAGGACCTAAGCGTAATGGCAGTGCATTAAAATTTAAAATTGATTAAATTTCTGTCGAGTGTAATTTGTAAATATGACATCACAATATTTGTAATATCTAGTTACTTCTTAGTCCTACGGCTTATATTTGTTACTGAATTTACTAATGTTTTGGAACAAATTGTTAAAAAGGTAGTCGTAAGTAGGTTAAGTTTCGTAGGATATTTCCAGAACATACAAAAATACTGTTTAATTTTTATATGTGTTTGACGGCACAATGTAATTTTATGAAAAATATGTGTGTTATTTTCATAAGGTTGACATGTATTTTATTTGTATTTCTACTAACTACAGACTTTTGACTTTTAGCTTCATTTTTATGGGTTGATTTTCATTTTTTTAATAAATTGATATAAGTAAAACTTGGTTTATTTTTGATTCATTACAACATGTTTGGCAACAAATGAGAAGAAGCTCTGTTTGATATTCTGTGATAAAAGATTATTGTTTTAATATTAAATTTTCCGACGATGGTAAACACCTTTGACAATTTGACATATTTAATTCAAGTAATACATGAATTTCTCAGCTATGTAGTCCCGGCATATAATAGGCTACCCCTTCCTTTCCCGTGGGTGTCCTAGGAGGCGACTAAGGTAGCTTAATGGTCGAGGGATGGGTAGCTGCGTCTTCCTTTAAACATCTCCAAAGTCTGCGGTTGCCAACTGCCTGCCAAGCGTGGCAACTATTGGCAAAACCCCCCTTATGGGGGAGACCTATGTTCAGCAGCGGACAGCTAACGGCTGAGATGACGATAATAAATTAATTAAATACTTTGGAATCCTCAGTCGAGTTACATAATGCAAACATCAATATGGCAGGCCTGTCGTATCATGACTGACACGAATCTGTTAAGTTACGTAAGTTTACTCGCTACCATTGTAATTCGTAACTTTTTAAGCTCTATTATATACTTTTGAAATCATTTAATTTTTTTTTTTATACAACTTAGAATGGCAATCAAGCTGACGGCCCACCTAATGGAAAGTGGTAACCGTCGCCTATAGACTTGAACAGTACCATGGACATAACAGAGTATACTGTTTCACATATGATACTCCCCATGCGTTGCCATTCCTGAGGACTCAGGTGTTATTCCTCTGTACCCTGTAAATTCACGCCATATCCTATCCTTCAAACCGAAACACAGTCAGAAACATATTATACACAGGTAGAAAAACGAATGGGACAGAGGTACCCAAGCAATCAACTTTTGTACAGTCTCCCTCTGGTTTACATGAGTTTACTCGTTACTACTGTAATTCGTAACTTTTTAAACTCTATTATATACTTTTGAAATCACTTAAATCATTATAAATACGTCAGATATCCTTTACTAATATTATAAATGTGAGAGTAAACAAACTGTTTATTGATTTTCTTGTTACTTTACAGCGCCAAATTAACCAGTCATTATGAAATTTATTATACACAAATGGAAATGGAGAAAGATATAGGCTACTTTTTATCCCGATTACACAGACGAAGACGCGGGTAAAAGTTAGTTTAAATATAAAACTCAGATGACTTGAACAACATATTGCATCGATCACATTTTTCTCAAACATTTTCCGCTTGCAAATGGAATATGGATGCACGGTAGAGGTTCTGAAATGTTATACAGTAGGTACCTTACTATGTGAATTGTTGAAATTGGTGTGTTAATTCTATCAGTCTCGTTGGCACGAATAGATTTATTAGCATAATATTACGATTGTTGTATAACTAGTGTTAATTTGAATTTGTTTAGATGAATTTTGATTAATGATTTACCTAGAGAAATAACCAAATGCTACCAATTTTACAAACTTTTATTTAGTTTCACAAGTTCCGTAGTGTCTGTAATCAAATCTTGTAAGTTAAATTTGATCCAGATTCCGGTTTCCGATTGAGCTGAAATTTTGCATGTAAGTATGTATAAATGGGATGACAACACAATATTATTATGACATAAAGCTGATCTGATGATGGAACTGGAAGGTGGAAGGAAATCCGTAATTAAATGACGCAACCCCATCGAGTTCGGGTTCATTTAATTCGTCTTGACGAGTACTTTGATACTAGATGGTTACCAGGGTCTGATGATGGAGCTGGAAGGTGGCCATATGAACTCCGTAATTAAACGACGCAACCCCATCGAGTTTGGGTTCGTTTAATTCTTCTTGACGAGTACTGTATGGTAACCAGGGTCTGATGATAGAGCTGGAAGGTGGAAGGAACTCCGTAATTAAACGACGCCACCCCATCGAGTTTGGAGTTTGGACTCGTTTAATTCGTCTTGACTTTTTAACTTTTTTTGTTATTTTATTAACAAATAATAAAAGCTCGTTTTTAAAAAAAAGGTTTTGATACTAGAAAAACAGAAGATTGATGTAGTTTCTTGTATGACAAATAAGAAATAAATACCAGTTTATTGAATTAATCTTTATTTTGACAAATAACTATTAATATTAAATGCATATATAATGTTGTAATAGTGGAGAAGTATTTACTGGGACTTAATTACAAAGGAAAAAGGTGTTCTTGATCCCTATAGTACAAAGCTAACATGAGCGGTGCGTAGTTAGTACTGTAGTAGACGACGGAGTTCGTCGTAGCAACGCGAGACAGTGGGTAAGTAGAAGGGCTCGAAGACGTGTGGAAACGGCGCGTCCCAGCCAGTCACCCGTCCAATTGGAGCCTCCAAGTGCAGGAAACACTCCTCCTGTGAATGAGTACCTGGTATATATACTCGCGTTCAATATATAATCCTAAAATTAGGGGGGGAAAGGGATTGTTGGTAATAGGGTCTAATTGACTTATTGCTAGCAATACACCCTGTCAGGTCGACCTCCACGCGATTCCCCTGGAAACCATCGTGTTTAATCCATCACATAATTTTATCACGATGGGCTACTAACCTGCTTTCATTGTTACCTATCATCTCTCACAGGTGCCCCGCCAGTGTATACAGATAGCGCAGGCGGGGTTACCATTCCATTATCATCTATTAAAAAAAAAACTAAATTTAGGGGGGGGGGGGGTTGTTAGTGATGCAGATTACCAGTCCCATTGCTAGCAATATACTCTATTAGGTCAACCTTTACGTAGTCCCCCCTGGATCACGATTGTTCGTGCTGGATTCCACGAGTATTCATCACGACGGGCTAATTGATCTGCCGTTTCTTTCTCACCAATCATCCCTCACTGGTGCCCCGTCAGTGTATACCGACAGCGCGGGTGGGGTTACCATTCTATTATCATTAATTAAAAAAAATATTCTGTGATTAATGTATACATTAAAATGCATTGTATGAACGGTGTTTTGACTAGCTGTAAACAGCGGTTTTACTCGTATAAATTAGAATAACAACTTGATGACTTAATGACTTTCATACCGATTCTAACAAACCTCTTTCATATTCATTACATTTCAACAAAATTTTTACAATAGACAGTTAACGCTTGGTTTCTGAAACAATTTCCGTTATTGTATACATACCTGGACAGTGGCAGCCACCTCGGCGCCGAACCCTGACGTTAAGGGCGCTTCGTGAGCTATCAAACAACGACCAGTTTTCTTGACTGACTGTAAAAGAAAATTAAAGTTTGATTATAATTGAAGTACAAATTAACTAAAAACCCTAGATTCACAATCCCATATAAAAATGCACACTCAAAAGGTTTTTTTTTTTTATACAACTTAAAATGGCAAACAAACTGACGGTCCACCTGATGGAAAGTGGTAACCGTCGCCTATAGATGTACAGGTCATGTACAGACGCCATGAGCAGTACCATGGACATAACAGAGTATACTGTTTCGCCCATGCGTTGCTATTCCTGAGGACTCAGGTGTTATTCCTCTGTACCCAGTAAATTCACGAAGGAATAACACCTGAGTCCTCAGGAATGGCAACGCATGGGGGGTATCATGGGCGAAACAGTATACTCTGTTATGTCCATGGTACTGCTCATGTCTATAGGCGACGGTGACCACTTTCCATCAGGTGGACCGGCAGATTGTTTGCCATTCTAAGTCGTATAAAAAAAAATGCGTAAAAGGAATTGGTAAATAAGGGGAATAAGGGACTTATGTGGGAAAGGATGGGGGGGATGGGAGGGGACACTGCAGTTGCGGAAAGGACCCGGACACTGCAGATCATTAGCATTTTTTATTAATATACCAGCCGTTAACTGTCCACTGCTGAACATAAGCCTCCTCCATAAGGGGGAAATTGCCAGTAGTTGCCACGCATGGCAGTCCGGTTGGCAACTGCTGGCAAAACCCCCCAAGGGGGAGGCTTATGTTCAGCAGTGGACAGTTAACGGCTGATATGATGATCTTTATAGTTTAAGTGTGTTCCACCAAAAACCGAATTTGTGTCAAAAACCAGTTATTTTAATTGATTAATTAAACTAAAGTACCGAATTTGTAAAATTTCTTTGGTACCAATCTGTAAATATATTTTATATATTTATTCTTTATTGACAACATTACAAAAAAAAACGTCTGGTACAAAAGGCGGACTTAATACCATATAGCAGTCAATCTTTGGCAAAACAGAAATTTAATTATGCGGTGAAAAAATTGAAAATTATTACAATAGAATATATATAATAATATAATAGAAAAAGAATAAATATTTATATAGATAAAAAATAAATATTTATCAAATTGGTTTATTACTGACGGATTATGAGGTAACAATTATATAAAAAAAAAACATACAATCGAATTGAGAGCATCCATGTTTTAGGAAGTTGTTTTTTTTTTATTGATGATAATGGAATGGTAACCCCGTCTGCGCTAACGATATACACTGGCGGGACACCATTGAGGGTGAGGATGAAACAGGATGGAATGGTGAGGATGAAATATAATAATCACAATAGCTTCCAGGAGGAACCGCGTGGAGGTCGACCTGATAGTACCCTATCAGGTCGAATATTGCTAGCAATGGGATTGTCAATTCCCCTTACTACAAATTCCCTCTCCCAACTTTGGAAGTTGGTTAAAAGTAGGACTCTTTTTTACTCACATTGCAAACAGTCTCCTCGTCCCACGGCAATATGGACTGCAGATCTATGACTTCGCAGCTGACGCCGAGCTCATCGTGGGCCTTTTGCGCCACCTCGAGGAGTACGTGGACCTGGGTGCCCCACGCTACCAGCGTCGCTGCGTCGCCTGGTCAACATAGTATAATATTATAAATTAAACATAACACAAAAATATTCGTTTATAAATGAAAATTTTTAATTAAATACCAATATTGTCTATAGGCGACGGTTACCACTTTTCATCAGGTGCGTCGTCAGCTTGTTTGCCATTCTAAGTTGTATAAAAATTTTTGCTATTTCTCCGAAAAAAAAACAATAAAATGTAAAATTTTAAAATGTCCAAAATTTAAATGTTAGAGAATAAAATGAAAAAAAAAAAAAAAAGAAAAGGAACTTATGTTTTTGACAAGTTTTTTTTTTGCAAATAAAAAATGTGAATTTTAGAGAAAGATATAGTTATAGTATTGTATTCATTATTTCAGCCACGTACAAAGTACCGTATCTACCACTGCATTATGGAGGTCGTCAGATTATAAAACAGTATGCATGAGGTTACCTTCTCTCAAAACCTGTGCCTTGCCAAGTGGCAGTGTGTAATCTTCAACTGGTACATCTTCGGTTGCAGACCGGTACAAGATCTTGGGTTCCAAGAATATGCACGGGTCCTTTTCGCGTATACAGGACAGCAGCAGACCCTTGGCTGCGGTCGGACCTCTTGGCACCACGACCTGATTGGTTTCATTTTTTTTATACAACTTAGAATGGCAAACAAGCTGACGGCCCACCTGATGGAAAGTGGTAACCGTCACTTATAGACACGAACAGTAGTATGGACATAACAGAGTATACTGTTTCGCCCATGATACCCCCCATGCATTGCAATTCCTGAGGATTCAGGTGTTATTCCTCTGTACTCTGTAAATTTACGCCATATCACGCCCTTCAAACCGATATATTCATATCGTAGATAGATAGAGAACTTGTGGACAAATAGTTTATATTTGATATTATTTCTATTTTACTTTTCTACTTACCACCTAGGTTATATTTTTTTCAAACTAAGTTGTTAAGAAAGATCTCGTACGTATCATAAGATCTATTTACATCATGAGTATCATGAAATTTGATCTTAAAGGTTGACCATGAATTATTGCATAGATATTGGATAGATGACGCAGTGTCTTTCCATAGACGCGAAGCATAGTGTATCGATTCATAACTTACTAGTTTTCAAATTTTTTAATCCTACAGAAATTTTTACAACACTTGCGAACTGATAACGTATCCGAGCTATACTCGAGATTAAGCAAAGTGGAAAAGAAATAGTAAGAAGGCCGAGCTTTTAGCCGGGATAAAGCAAAGACCGAACCAAACCACCAACGAACCGAAGTACCAACTCCTTCCGTTAGACCGCATTCAAAGTCGGGCCGCTCGAATTATTGATAGTCAATGCCTTACTATCCGACTTGATCCACTGAAACTGCGCAGAGATGTTGCATCTCTGTACATTTTCTACCGAATTTATCATGGGGAGTGTTCTGAGGAATTGTTCGGATTGATACCTGCTGCTGATTTTCACCATCGCACAACCCGTCACAAACTAAAGTTCCATCCCAATCATCTGGACGAGTGGCGGTCCTCCACCGTGCGTTTTTTAAGGCACTTTCTTCCACCCACAACCATTCTTTGGAATCAACTTCCAGCAGCAGTATTTCCGAACCGATACGACAACATAACCTTCAAGAAAACAGTATATTCCTTTTTAAAAGGCCGGCAGCGCACCTGCAATGCCGCTGGTGTTGCGGGTGATCATGGGCGGCGGTAGTCACTTACCATCAGGTGAGCCGCATGCTCGTTTGCCCCCTGTATTGTAAAAAAAAACCGAGCGTGGTACCGACCTTGAGGCCGGGCACGTGCGCGAAGAAGGCCTCCGGGCTTTGCGAGTGGTAGAGGCCGCCGTGGCCCACCGCGCCGCACGGCGTTCGCACCGTCAGCGCGCCGCACGGGAACTGCCCGCCGGACCGGTAGCGGGCCTTCGCCGCCTCGTTCACCAGCTGCCGGCGTTACCGATACTTGTTTTACTTTAATGAATGATATTTTTTTACAACAGGGGACAAACGAGAGGAGAATTTTACCAGAGGGAACCTCTATCCCATTCGTGTTTCAGCCGTGAAGCAGTTGTGTTTGTATGGCTGTGTTTCGGTTTGAAGGGTGGGATATGGCGTGAATTTACTGGGTACGGAGGAATAACACCTGAGTGCTCAGGAATGGCAACGCATGGGGGGCATCATGGGCGAAACAGTATACTCTGTTATGTCCATGGTACTGCTCATGTGTATAGGCGACGGTTACCACTTTCCATCAGGTGGGCCGTCAGCTTGTTTGCCATTCTAAGTTGTATAAAAAAAAAAACGAACATGCGGTTCACCTGATAGTAAGTGACTACCGCCGCCCATCCAAACCAATGCAATACCTTTGGTGTTGTGATCACCCACAACGCCAAAGACATTGCCTTCGTCACCTCCAGTGTTTTTTTTTTAAAAGGAATATGCTCTTTTCCTAAAGGTTAAAGATGGTATTATTGAAATGGTAACCCCGCCTGCGTTAACGGTGGCGGAGCACCAGTGACTGACGATAGGCGAGAATGAAGCAAGTCAGTTGGCCAATCATGATTAACTCAACTAGAAATTAATTCTGATAGTTTCCAGACAGAACGGCGAGATAGTGGACTTGATAGTGTATATTGCTAGCAATAGGATTCTTCAAAAAGGGGGTAAAGAGGTTTCTTCAGGATTGGTAACACGCGCGTAATACCCCTGGTATTGCAGGTGTTTATAGGCTACGGTAACCGCTTACCATCAAGTGGGCCATATGCTTATATGCCACCTCGGTGATATATGAAATTTAATTTTTAATATAAAAATTGCACAGTACCTGATCAAAAGCCGGGAATATGTAATCAGCAAACTGAATCTCGGCTATAGCGGTGGCTCCAGCCGTGGCCAGACCGATGCCGAATCCTGCGATGCCCTGTTCACACAGCGGAGTGTTGAACACCCTGTCCTTGCCATATTTCTCCTGAAATAATTTGATATAACAATTTTAGCTAAATATAAGCTATTTTCCCTTCTATTTTAATGAACTAGGTGTTATCTTGCGGAAGACTATATCACCTGTTATTTGATTCGAATCAAATGCTTTTTGCAAAACGTGCGCAAACAAAATGACAGTCGTAGATTGATGGCTAATATGGAAGGTTGTAGAATTTCTGATAGTAATAGTGGTAGGCAAACTTCAAGTGTTGGCAGTCACATACATACTACCAATTTTTTTTTTAAATCTTTTCCAAATAACCAGTTTTAAGCCTTATTTTATTTGCATTTTCCTTTTGATGGACAACATATACCGTCAAATCATTTGACAAAAATAGATTACTTAATTACTTAATAAACATACCTTCAGACGTTGTAATTTCACTACCTGCAGCCATGCAAGAAACATTTGTTTCGAACTAGCTGTTTCACATGGCTTTGCTCATGTACATCAGTGTATAAAACATCTTTTGAAAATATTGAAAACAAACTTATAATAAAATGTATAGATAACATTAGGTGATCTGTAAGAGATTGCTGTAAAACGTAGACCTTATTACTAATAATTTTTTTTTTAAATTTCAAACATTTTTAAAAAAGGATGAGGTTCTAATATCCATTGTATTTTCAATCGAATAAAAAAAATTCTCAATTTGGTTGTATTTATATATTGATTTGGAAAAATATTTTTTTTTTATCTGAAAGGATATATTTACAGATTGGTCCCATAGAAATTTTATCCAAATCAGTTTAGGACTTTAGTTTTTAAATCGAAATAACTGGTTTTGTTACAACTAAAATTGTTTTTTTTTTGGAGCATAATTTTAACTATGTTTGTAACCTCATAAGTTATTAATTTATGAACTAATTTGAAAAATACATTCAGAATGGACCATTGGTAATTAAATCAAAATTTCTCAAAAAAAAAAGTCCAGTAGTAGTAAGTAGTAATCTTAAAATAGAACTAACATATTTGCCATTATTGAAGTTGGTATCTTTTTATGGACATTGTTATAAATTAAATTACTCTGTGTTGATAATAAAGAGTTATTATTACTACCTGTAATCCTAGAGCACATCTGAAGACACCGCCAAACGCGACATCCTCACCAAACACCACAGCGGTGGGGTCACTCCTAAGGGTAAGATCCATGGCATTGTTGATGGCTTGCATCATATTCATTTTGGTGGTCTCACCTGTAATTACAATATTAATTATTTATTGAATGAATGAATAAGTATACTTTATTTCCATTATACAATATAGGAAATAAGCAAGACAACCTTAAGGTAATGAACTAATTGTTGTACAAGTAGGTATGATAGTGCTGTATAATTAAAAAAGCATCAATTGCAAATTAGAAATATATTATTTATATATATATATATATATATATATATATATATATATATATATATATATATATATATATATATATATATATATATATATATATATTATTATTATTTTTTAAATTTCACTAAAATTCTCATCTCCCCTCTTAAGGAGAGGAGATGGCAACTAACCGTCGGCAGAAGCACAGTCGGCCGGGGTTCAGGGCCCCAGGGAGAGAAACCGGCGTACAATGCGGGCAGAATCTAAGAGCACCGCTTTCTGCATCTTTCCCGGAAGTGAACCGCCTCTGAATCCCAACCGTCTGAGATGTTGTTCGAGACTGGTTGGGATAAGACCGTTCATCGACATAACGATTGGGATGATTTCGGTAGATGTCACCCCCCACATTTCGGTCACCTCGTGAGCCAGGTATTATTATTCTGGATTAGCAATACCCATGTGACACCTCTGGTGCTTTAGATATGGATGATAATAGAATGATAACCACACCAGTTCTATTTGCATATGCTCATAAAGCACCAGTGAGTGGTGATAGGTGAAAATGAAAGCAGGTCAGTTGGCCAACTTTTCAAGATTAACCATGATTGTTTCCAGGGGGAACTGCATGGGGGTCGACCTGGTAGAGTATTGCTATTATCAGCCAATAGTCTCCATTCTTAATACCTTCTCACTTCTTCTCTTCTTCAACCACACCTCTAGTACTGTATTTACTGTGCTATTCTAATAGATAAACAAACAGAAACTACTCTACTCTCTTTTAGACAAGTCCAACTGGAGTGGTAAAAAGGTTATATATATATTACAGAAGTTAACCCATTCAATACGGAGAGCGCACCAGGGCGCTCTCCAATGTTATACGTTGTGACGGCAAGCGCCTCGAGGCGCTCTCCCCACCCTCACCCAATGACGGCGAGCGCTCCGAGGCGCTCGGTTTCCTTTAGTTTCAAACGTGCTTTAGTCCGTTCCAGTCACTTGTGGAAGCCCGTTATTTACTGGCAGTCACTCCTAACAATTAACTAAGCCATATACGTAGAAAAAGTTGTGCCGTCAGTGACGGCTGTTTATGAAAAACTAAGCCGTATACTGCATAGGGATCTCAATATGGCCACCGTATTGAATGGGTTAAAAGAATAGTACAATACAATTGTTAGCGATATTTTATAGTTATTTGTGTTATTAATCTTGTAACTGTTGTTTTTTTTTTATATACAACTTAGAATGGCAAACAAGTTGACGGCCCACCTGATGGAATGTGGTAACATATAAAACATACAATATACAAACAACTATAAAGACAGTGTGTTTCAACCGTGAAGCAGTTGTGTTTGCATGGCTGTGTTTCAGTTTGTACTGCTCATGTCTATAGGCGACGGTTACCACTTTCCATCAGGTGGGCCATCAGCTTACTTGCCATTATAAGTTGCATCAAAAATAAATGTACAGAGTACAAAGTCCATTAGATTTATTTATGTCACCTTGTTTGCCATTCTAAGTTGTATAAAAAAAACATGAAATGTGAAGTGTGATCATTTGATTCATAATGATAAATTTACTAGGATATATGTGAGATTCCAAGCGAACCGCGTGAAGGTTGACCTTTTATTGCTAGTAATGCGATCAATTATCTACATCACTATAAATTCCTACTCTTCTTAAAGATAGGTAGAACAGTTATAACCTAAAATAACATTAATATTTTACAAACCTTCCACAGGTTTTCCATTGTCAGGGAAGTAAACAAAGTGTGAACTAAGTCGTTTTGCCTCCGAATTTACATGTTTTATTAATTTTGCTAGTAATACAGATCTTTTTACGACTAAACTTGACATTTTTGTTGTCCGCCCGCGATGCGTAAAGCGTCGGATGATTTAAATAATACATCTTATCTGCAATTGTAATTAGCTTGTTTCGATTCACTGATAACATTTGAGTATGACGTAATAAAATGTTTGTTTACAAAATAATGCTCTATTAGTATTATTACTAAGCAAGAATGTCATGTGGATGGATGGATTGATAGATACATGGAGTATTTAAGAGTTGACACAGCCCTGTGTATTTACATAGACAGGAAAATAAATCTAAGCAACCATTAGTAATCTCGACACAGCAAAATATTTTTGTATCACAATGTGTAATAAGTATTTACATATTTTATTTATTACAATAGCCTATTATGTAGTATTATTTTACTTTATATACCGATATTAATAAGTATTTTAAAAGAATTAATAGGTATTTAAAATTTCCGAATTAATTAAATTGGTTGCATAGATTACTTAGAGAGTATTTTTTATTCGAAATGGCTGGAAGGATGACGAAAAATTCAAATGTCATTTCATCATCTGCTACATGATTGACTGTTGCATGACATTACATATTACTTGACATAACTTTCGATTATGCTTTGTAAAGTACTTGTAGACGGTCCATTTTTTTTAATGTCAGTTCATAAATATGTAAATGCTAGCATGAATGTGTTCTGAAATTTTTGGAAATTGTAGCAAAAATTATTGATAATATACGTTCTTGATTATATTTTAATTTATTTTTTATTTAAATCCAGTAATCTAATGGAAGCATATAAGCGATATTAGACTTTATAGAGTTTTTGTCGTGATCATGTACCGTCCATGTCTATATATAATTACTAGAGAAATATTTGCAAATATAGGATATAGATTAGTTATCAACCTTGTCATTCAATATGTCTTCATAATGGAATTAAGGCGTGAATTAAGGCGCGGGCAAGACTAATAATATACTAGTAATTTTAGCCCAGTCTTCAAAAATAACACTTGCTCGCAAATTTGATAGGTGCATAATTGATAAAAAAAAATTATATATTTTTTTACAAATATAGATAAAACGCACCTAATTAGTTTTATGCTAGGTATTTATCGAAGTATTAATTTTTTTAGAAACTATTACTTATAGTAATAATCAATAAATATTTTAAAATAAATATTATATATTGATAATGGAATGGCAAACCCACCCGCGCTATCGGTATATACCGGCGGGGCACCAGTGAAAGATGTTAGATGAGAATGAAGCAGGTCAGTTAGCCCATCGTGACGAATTTAACAAGAATTGTTCACAATGGTTTCCAGGGGGAACCACGTGAAGGTCGACCTAATGAGGCATATTGCTAGCAATGGGGCTGTCAATCTGTCAATCTGTCTGATATGCCTGATAGGCAATATGCCCATATTGCTAACAGTAGGGCTGTCAAACTCCATTACTAACAATCCCTTTCCCCCCCAATAAAGAGGGTTTTTTAATGGATGAAAATGGTATAGTAACCCCGCCTGCGCTAACAGAATACACTGGCGGAGTACCAGTGAAGAGTGATAGATGAGAATGAAAACAGGTTAGTTAGCCCATCATGATGAATTCATCAGGAATTAACCATGATAGTTTCCAGGTAGAATCGCGAGGAGGTCGACCTGGTTGGGTATATTGCTAGCAATGGGATTTTCAGTCTCCATTACTAACAATCCCTTTCCCCCCAGATTCCAATAAAGAGGGTTACACCTATTAGAGGTCCATCATCATCATATCGTTATCTATCCACTACAGAATGTAGTACTTCCTCATAGACATAAGTACTTTTCTATGTCCAGGAACAGCATATGAGGTCGTCACTCCCTCAACTAGAGTTTACTTAGCATAAAAACTTAAAAGTTTTAGACGATTGGGGAATAGATATGTTTAGATATAGTAACGGGTAAACCCCGTAAATGTTTTGTAATATATATATATATATATATATATATTCTTTAGAATCTGCTAGGATATTATCATACCTATTTTAGTAATAATGACAACAATAATGAAAGAAGTAATATGGGATCAACAAGGAGCATATTTTAGTGATTGCAAAAAGAATTATCAAAATCGATCAGGAGTTAACGAACTGAAGATATTACATAGCATAAACACATAAAAAACCACAGACAACTGAAACATTTCCTTTTGTAGATTATACAATAACCTTAAAATAACATAATATAAAATATTTAAATGATTAAACTATTCTCACATGTTCGCTAATTAAAAGTACAAAAGGATATTGTCACTTAACCAACATTTTCATTCATTATTTTCGTTGACAACTTTAATAGTATGACTCACAGCAATTTGGAAACCTGTTTATACCAATAAAATAATAAAAAAATAATCTTAAAGGAAATCGTTTAAAGTGTTGAGTGTTCCTCATTACCTCGTTTATCAATTTATTAAAAGATATTTTGGTGCTTATTGTCAACCAGTATTGGTGTTAATAAAATTTTATTGGCGATTCACTCAAGGAAGGAAATTAAAGCATGGCATCGATAAGCTTGCATTTTTGTATAGGAAACGAAGAAGTTAAACATTAATGTTGCGTAATAATAATCGATTATCAATTAATCGATGCAGAAGGTACAGAATAATCGAAATATTAATTGACCCTATTGACACAATCGATTAAAAAACTAAATCTACAAATTTTACGATTTTGGTGTTGTTGGATAGGTATAATATTCAATTCTATTAGTATATTTAAATTCGGGTCAATTCAGAGTCGTCACTTCTGTAAATATATAATCAAAATTAAAATTTCTATTTGGTATCACAGCACAATCTTTATTATTTACCAACATGGATTAAATTTCTAATAGTCAATATTACTATAAATTATGTTATTAGTTAATATATATCAGCCTTTTGTTAGTAGTTGTCACGTTGTGCAGGCGGGTGGGCAACTGCAGTTAGGCTTTGGAGATGTTTTATGGGACGCTGCTGCCCATTGCTTGCCCTACCTTTGTCGCCTTTTACGACACCCATAGGAAAGAAAGGAGGGACCTATTCTATGCCGAGATCATACGGCAAATTGGGCAATATTATTGTGATTCTTAAAACAGTAGTCTCGTGAAACTGTTTAAGTAAATCGGATAAATATTCGTTAACAGATATTTTAAGTGCTAGGTTTAGAGAAATGGTAACACAGAATTGACCTCGCTGTCTATGTAATTACAATTCCAGTTTGATAACACAATCTACCTTTATTTTCTTTAGAATCAAATTTATTTTTAAATTTTATACTTGTTCCTTACCAATAACTGGGCTTGGTACTTGGTTGTCCATAACATAATACTTTCTCTGAACAATAAATTTAAAATTTTAATTTATAGAAATAGTTTTGGAGACTGGCAGTACACAATCGGTCGCACTGTCCATTTTGTAATTCACCATTGCTTTCATTATATCATTGTGAATCTACATGAATGCGGTTGAGACGTGAGACCTGAACACGTAGTACAGTCATAAGAATAGATACACTGGGTGGAAGTGACACTTATTTATTTTCTAATGGATGAAAATGGAATGCTAACGCCTGTGCTATTGGTATAAGCTGCCAGGGCACCAGTGAGGGATAACAGGTAAAGATGAAGGCAGATTAAATGGTTTTAAAGAGGTTGACTTGATGATGTATGTAGCCTTACAAGCTACATACGTCATTATACATTTATCATACATTAGATAGGTTAAGATTATTGGTGATGGGGCCGACAAAGTATCAACTAGGACACCATTTCAGCATTTTTTAAAGGATGATAATTGTAGTTTTCAATAGTATTGTTTGTTTTTTGTGTATTTTCTTCACTTGCATTATGCATTTATGCAAAATTTATTGGCGGAAAAATTACTATATAATTGCATAATTATCATGTATGTTGTTATAGCTGTCTGTTCTTTTTTTTTTTATACAACTTAGAATGACAAAGAAGCTGACGGCCCGCCTGATGGAAAGTGGTAACCGTCGCCTATAGACATGAGCAGTACCGTGGACATAACAGAGTATACTGTTTTGCTCATGATACCCCCCATGCGTTGCTATTCCTAAGGACTCAGGTGTTATTCCTCCGTACCCAGTAAATTCACGCCATATCCCACCCTTCAAACCGAAACACAGCCATGCAAACACAACTGCTTTACGGTTGGAACACGAATGGGACAGAGGTACCCAAGCAATGGACTTTTGTACAAAGTCTCCCTCTGGTATCTTAAACAAATAAATAAATCAATGTAATTATTATCAAACTGGATTATCCTATGGCTTTGCTCAAGTGAGACAATCTATAAAATATATTATGTGTTAAATTGGAACATAATCTACCCGTAAATATAAATGTGGTACCATTTAATGCAAATGTTTTTAGCCGTTTAAGAGATATTGTATAAAAGACATCCGAACATCTTTACAAATCTTCACATTGATAATATAATCAAGACTCACAGGAGCGGCAGTTCTACCTGGATATACGTATATACATCTGGTACGCTGTACACGAACGGTCACTTTTACTTTCAAGCGGGACCGCGGACGGCCGATGACTCCTGCGCAGGCCGGCATACCCGCGTTGGCAACACGCGCACGTCATTTCTTCAAGACAAATTAAAATTTATACGCATTACGTGTTAAGCAGAGATTTTGTAAGAGTTATTTTTAAAGTGGACATACAAGTCATGTCGGTTTAATGGTCGAAGAGTTTCTGGTTTTAGGGACGATTTTGACGTATAGGGACGGAGGCGGTCTTTTTTTTATACTACTAAGGTGGCAAACAAGCATACGGCTCGCCTGATGGTAAGCGGCTGTAGTCTCTTGGGAAAACCTCGGCAGGGAGCTCATTCCATAATCTGAGTGATCGCGGGAGAAAACATCTCTGAAACCGCGTTGTACGCGACCATTTAGGCTGTAGGGTATAAGGGTGAACTCCCTGTCGATGGCGAGCCGTACGATGATAGAAACTGGCCGTAGGCATCATATTGAATAATTCCTTCGAGCACAATCCGTTGTACAAGCGATAGAACACGCAGAGTGAGGCAAAATCTCTCCGAAGACTTAAGGGTTTGATACCGCTTGCAAGCCTGGGATTATCGACAATTCCCATAGCTCGTCGTT